TTCTGTGGTAACAGACAATGTACCTAACGAATTGGCTGATCAAGGAAAAGTGATTTCTAGGCAGAATGTGGCCAATGTTACCTGGCTTCTGGTTGCTTCTAATAAAATGTGAAAAGGGACAAGACATGTTACAGAAAGAACCATTGAGCATAAAAATGCCAGGACTTGCTAGGTTTGAAAATAAAGACATCTTATTCCTAGTCTTTCCATTCATAAAACAATACTAAAAGTTTAAAATAGCCTCCAGGCAAAAATCAAATCCAAGGTGCTGTCAAGGAAATTCGGGCTAGAGATGAGCTGAGGGAGTGAGTGTAAAACCTTTTATGAAGACCTCAGAAATATGTAAGGCGGTTGCTTCAAACAAAAGCAGAGTAGGGCTTCTGGTAATCTTGAGCGTGGTGTCCCATTGCAGCCTTGGAGGAAACTCAAGACAGAAAGGAGCTCATTGGATGGATATCTCTGGTTATGGCTTACATCTCAAGGACAGAATGCCAGCAAGACTCAGAGTCTTGCAGTGATTGAAAGAAGACTGCTTTGCCTGCAGCTGCCTGCTCCAGCTGCAAGAGATGGAGGCAGCACAAAATGAAAAGGGGTCTTTGGACCTCCAGACAGGAAACCAGGCTGAGAAAACAACCCAGCTGCGAACACTGACAGCTTCTTACAGAAAAGAAAGGGTGACTCACATACCTTCTGCCTGGGTCCGAGGATGAAGAGAACCATTCCCATGGCCTGAGACTGAGTTCTAACCCAGAAACTGCCCGCATGGCCAGCAGAATTTTGGAATTGCCAAGGACCCCTGCATACTTTGTTTTCCCATTCAACGGATGGACCTATTGTGTTTACCCTATTCCTGCCCCACCATTGTGCAGTGCCTGGAGCAATGATGGTGAACCTATTAGAGCTTGCAATGATACAAACAGCCCGTTGCAGCACCTGTGTCATAGGTTCGCCACCACTGACCTAGAGGGAAGGTAAAATTTTCCCTGGTTCGTGGGCCTAGAGATCCAGCAGGCAGTGCTGGTACTGGTTTAGGAGTTCATCCTAGGAGCCTCACCTAAGGCTGGACCTGATTAGACTACAAGGTACAGGACTTTAGGCTGATGCTGTCACACGAGGAGACTGTGGGGGCCTTGAGAATAATGAGAACTGTGAGAAGCTGGCAGCTGGGATGAGGTCACCAAACTCCCGTGATCCCTCTGTGTTCCTGCCCCTGTGTAACCCTCCTTCCCAGAATCAGGGGTGGCTCTGTGATCAACGCTATACAGGGGAAATAAGGTTGGCCCGAACAGGCCTTGCAGCTTCTGCCTTGGACTCTCCGACCTCGTGCTCTGAGGGAAGCCAGCGACCATAAAGTGAGACACCCTGCTGCCCTGTGGAGAGCACCAGGGCCCCTCCAACATCCAGCACCAACTTGCAGGTCCCCTAAGTAACCACCTAGCCAGCAGCCCCAGGCAGGGTAACTGCAGGCCCAGGGAGCCCCCGACTGTAAACTCAGGAGAGAGGGAGGCTGGGACACCCAGCTGTGCTGCCCTAGAATTTCTGTCCCAAAGAAAAAATGAGAGAGAAATAATGACTATCATTGTTTAAAGCCACTAGGTATGGGAGCAATGTGTTTCACAGCAGCAGATAACTAACAAAACTCAATGGAGTATACATAGGAGAATCGGATGTTATCTTGGCCACAAAGAACTTGCAATAGAGGGGGAAAAATATCCAAACACTGGAGAATGGAGTTTAGGGAAGCATAAAGTCCCCTTGGCCAATGTAGTAAAGGACTATTTCTTGCTCCTTTGGGGTGCTGGGGCTGAAATCAGAAGGTGAGGTGCCCAGGGATGGTGAGACATAGCAAGACAATTTCCAGAGGAGACCAGTGCCTTAAACAGGAGATTTTCCTTTCAGCTTTAAACTTTGTCAAGCCCTGGCTTTGTTATTTCAAAAGAGGCCTTTCCTTTTACTGAAGTCTTTTGTATTAGCTCTGTCACCACATGAGAGGCAGGTCAGGGATTATCACCCCTATGACACAAAAGACAAAACTGAGGATCCCACTGAGGAACTGGCTTATCCAGGCCCTGGGCTCCTTCTGCTGCCATATCAGCTCTCAACAGCTCTAAGATGCCTTCAACTGCCAGAAGAATCAGAATTCAAACTGCCTTAAGGCTGAGCCCTAAACACACATGTTCAGGAAGAACATGGAGGGAAAACTCAGGTCAAGTGGTCTGATGGGGACCCTCAATAAATAATAGATTTTGGATACCTTCAAAACCACCTTTCACACTTATTAAAATCTGTGCCCCAGGATGCTGATGCCAGACTACTCTTATGACCAAGATTATGTCCCTCTGTACCAAGTGACCTCAAGTCTTTCTGTGTCTCTGAGCCCCATGAGTTTTATGTGGGCTTAGACTGGCTGGTCTCTTAGGCCCTGTCATTGTAGGACTCAGGAGGAATTTGTGAGCCCTCAGCACTGATGTTAGCATAATAATACACAGCCATTTCCATCTTGAGTCTCCAATCTACAAGATCAATGCCAAACAGGAAATTGCAGGCAGTAATTTATTCTGAATTCACCCACCATGGAACTTGTTTAATATACATTGCTACATGAACTCTAATAAAACATTAAACAGACAAAGAAGGTTTCTGCCAGCTTCCCCAACTCCCTGACATATGCTCCCCTTTCTGCCAGACCCCCCTGGAGAGGAGGCCTCCCTGGGACTGCAGCTGTGATCAAAAACAACTGCAGAGAGGCAGGCAGGAGGTCGGTTGCGAAACAAACCAAGCCCATAAACTAAAATGATACAAGAATAAAATAAAACATTGCAAAAAAAAAAAATGAAATGACCAAGCTGGATTAATGTCAGAGAACCCTCTAATCAATACCCACTCTTGGTCTGTATATATAAAGGAAGAGGTAGATCAGTTGGACTATCTTTCTGCCCAGTTCTGGGCAGATGACTTAGTCCTGGTGTATTAGTCTGGGTTCTCCAAAGAAATAGAACCAATAGGAGAGAGAGACACAGAGACAGGAAAACAGATATAGATAAAGAGATTTTCTGTAAGGAATTGGCTCTCATAATTACGGGGACTGAGAAGTCCAAGAGCTGCAGTCAGCAAGCTGGTAACCCAGGAGATCCAAAGGTGCAAGCTCCCTTTCAAGTCCAAGTCCAAAGGCTCAGACTGATGTGCCAGCTCAAAGCAAGGCAGAGAGAAAGAATTCTTTCCTATTCAGCCTTTTATTTCACTCAAGCCATGGATGGATTGGATGAGGCCCACCCATGTTGGTGAAGGTGATCAGCTTTCTCACTCTACCAATTCAAATGTTACTCTCACCTTAAAAAAATCTTTAAAAGCCCACTCAGAAGGGAACTTTAACCAAATATCTGGCACCCTGTGACCAAAGCAAGTTGCCATATAAAATTAACCATCACATACATGAAGGCCCTGAGGTTTGGGGGTCACCCTGAAAAAATTGTAAGATGAAGTGAAGTCTGGAAACCAACAACTGCTGGGGCTCCTTCCTGGTCTGTTGGGCTCAGTCTGGAAGCCCAGGTTGGCCCTCAGCTGAGACTGTGTGTAGGAGCCATTATTGCTTTACATGGGAAAGGAGCAAACGTCCATCTTTCCCAATGACAGCTGCAAGTAGCACATAGGACCAGAAGTATCAAGAAACCCAGAATCACAGCAATGAAAATACAGTGAAATGAAGGCTAAATGTTGATTCTCCACATCAGCATGTCCAATAGACTCTGGGCAAAGAATCGACTAGCATGTCCAAGTGATGGGCCAGCATGGGAAGCAGAAATGGCTCCACAGAATATGCAGAATCAGGATGAAGCAGGTGACAAGGGAACTGGATGGTGCTTAAGTAGCTTCTGTCTAAGGAGGTCAATGTCACCCTGGGGAGCCAGGGTTGGCAGTTGGCATACAGCTCACTCTGAAGTGGTCCCTCATATTGTACGTGGCTGATCTAAGTACAATTACAAGTAGTTAAGTGTTGAGTAAACAAAATACAAGAAGTTCACTTCTTAGCTAACTATTCTGTTGTATTTACAAATTGCTAAGTAAAGGGCACATTTTAATAGCTCTAAGGAAGACTGACTACATTGAAAGGGCATATTCGATGTATATAGTGCCAACTGTAACATTTGGCAGGGACAGACGCAGCAAGAAAGTCCTCCACCTCAAGAGGAAAGAGAGAGGGCCTCTTCCTGCTGAAGTGGGCGAGCCTGGCCTTACACTTGAGAAGCAGGGGTTTCGTGTATCTTGACTCCTAGTCCAGTGCTTTCTGCTGTGCTATGAAAATGCAAAACTCAGGGCTTTGATCAGGTGAAGTGGTGCGTGCCTGTAATGCAGAACTGTGGAAGGCTGAGAGAGGAGGATCCCAAACTCAAGCCCAACCTCAGAAATTGAGCAAGACCATGTCTCAAAATTTTAAAAGCCAGGGAACATAGCTCAGTGCAAAGGCCCTGGGTTCAATCCCCTGTACCAAAAGCAAAAACAAAAGCGAACAAACAAAAATCTCAGAAACAAACACCAACTGTCTATCAGGTAAAAGTGGTACATCAAACATCAGTAACCCCATCTCCTGCCTCGGCTCCACACTCCTCCCCTTCCCTCCCACTCTAGGCCATCACACACTCACATAGCATGTGCACACAAGCCCAGCCACTGCTGGGCATCAACATGCAGCTCTTTCGGCCTAAGGACCTTCCATCGGGTCACCCAGACTCCAGGCCTGAAGGCTGCCTGAAAAAGGAGTCTGGCACCAAAGCCTCACCTCTCCTTTGTGAGCCATGACAGAGCTCATCCTGCACACCTCAGGGAACCGGGTAGCCCATCCCAGCTCCAACCCAAATCCCAGGTTCCTGGCCAAGGTCTGGGCAAGCCCAGCTGCCCCAGGCAAAGTGAAAGCACACAACAGGACATTCCTTCTGTTCCAAGCCTGCACTGCGGCACTAGAGGATGCAATATGAATAGAAATTTCTGCAAAAAAGACTTACCTATTCTATGGCCAGCCAATAAGTGTATGACCAGGTGCTCAATAACATTAGTCACTAGGGAAATCCAAATCAAAACCATAGTAGTATACCATCCACACCCATTAGGATAATGCCTATCAAAAAAAGAAGAAAAATAGTAAGCATTGTAAAGAATGTGGAGAAATTAGAACTCTCATGCATTGCTGGGGGAAATGTAAAATCACCATAGAAAACAGTTCAGCAGTTCCTCAAAAAGCTAAACAGAATATCCATATGACCCAACAATTCCACTCCTTAATGCACACCCAAAAGAATGGAAAGCACCCAGAGCCCAGAAGGAAGCTCCCCCGCCGCCATCCCAAGCTCCTAGGGTGAAGCTGAGCCAGTCCCAGCACCTGGAAGGAAGCTCCCCCACTGCCATCCCAAGCTCCTAGGGCAGAGAACGTGAGCCAGTCCCAGAACCTGGAAGGAAGCTCCCCCACTGCCATCCCAAGCTCCTAGGGCAGAGAAGGTGAGCTGGTCCCAGCACCCGGAAGAAAGCTCCCCCGCAGCCATCCCACGCTCCTAGGGTAGAGAACGTGAGCCGCGCAGGCGCCAGAAGCAGCCCCCCCCCC